AACACTCGTTTGTTTGGCCAACTTGAACTTCGTCACACGCATCCAAATAATATCCCAATACAGTCTTGCATCCGTCCCTGTTTAAACATCTGTGGTACGCGTATTCGCAAGCAATCTGTAATATAAATACAATACTGTACAATGCAATATACATCAAGAATATATATTTTTTTTTCAATACAGAATATTTTCGTTGATTATGAACACCTATTTAGGACCTTCAAGCCAAAGGACAGTGGAACTGTTGCGAAGGTAATGCATTGAGAAAGAACCAAGTACAGTATAGATTTTTTCTTCTCTCCTAATTACAATTTTGATTTAAAAAAAGTCTTCACACAAGCTTCACTGGGAAGAAATACTACTCTCTCTCTCTCTCCTTCTTTATTTTTGTATCTGTAAATATTTTAAATCTCTGCTGGATTTGTGCACAAATTCCTTTTATTCAATGGTTTGTGAGTTCTGTGTTCCTTGGGAATTTGGCCATTGCCTTGTCATCAAATTACACAATATAATTGACCTGAGGAGAACCCGGAACATATTTTCAATGTGTACTCTTCGATTTAAGTTCTTGGCCACAAACTGGCTGATTGCCCTTCTTTTATTTGTTCCGCTGCTTCTCTATTATCCATTATTTTATTAGGTTCCAATGTATACCCAACAACAATGCAAAAAAGATAGAATATTTCTACATCCTGGACTTTAGAGAAGAGAGCAATGTATACAAGTATACTCTCTCTACAACAATTCTGTCATCCAAAACTTTCTTTTCTCCCAAAAGGATAGGGGTTCTCAGCATTTTGTACTGTATTTCCAAAAAGTAAAAAAAAAAAACCATTATAAATTCACTATTATATATTATAAAAAGGGATTTCTTCTTTCTATGGAGCTCTTTCCATCATCCGTGCACAATACAGGAATATTTGTAGTTGCTCTTCGCTTTTTTTCAACTCCTTTTCATGCCAAATGCAATTATTTTTTGTATATTGAAGTCAAGAAACATAATTTATTTTAATTTTGGAAACTTCCTTCCCAAGTCTTGATCTACAGGAGAACCAATAAAATAAATTTCTCTAGTACTCTAAATGAAAATTTGATCCGACATGCGGACTTTCCGAAGTAGATAAAAGGTTCAAGCACCAATTCCGTCCGCATCTCGGGGCCTAACTAAATTCCTATTACCTTGCATTCCGACTTCCATCTTCGCACGCATTTACCTTTTAATTCATGACTAGTCCAAAACAAACAAAAATCGTTCATGGCATGAAAAAATACCTCATCATCCGCAGGAGATGCTGCAGCAGAGTCGTCGGTGCTGCCAACACCGACGTCGGAAGACGACACCACAGCCACTGTCAGGCTCAACAATAATACTGCTGCTTTTTGAATCCCTGAAATATTTAATCAAAAGTTTCACTGCAGAACACTCACGCAAAGAAAAAAACGGCTCAAACAAGAAAATGTTTACTCAGTCCCAAATCCAGTCAACACGACTCTCATATGACCCACCCCGAAAAAACACAACTATCGCCTTCCTGTTTGCAGAAACTCCTGTTCTATTCGTCTCTCGGATCCGAGAGCCAAGTTCGAATTTCCAGGTTGGACCAGAAAAGAAGTATTGCGACAGTGTTTCATTCATAATTGCTGAATGCTTCACCTCGTAATCACCAGAACAAACATAATTAACTCGAAGAGAAATCGACACTGTCACGCTACAGAAATTCAGATAACAGTGATGCAGTTATTCTCAATATAACAACGCTTATGAAACCTCAAACAAGCTTCGAAATAAACAAAACTCGTTAAAAAAGAATTCAAAATAATATTCGGGGTATTGGAAAGCCATCGAATTCTTTATTAGCAACAATTTCCTATAGCTATTAATAGTCGATGTAATTTCCTGAACATAAAAACAGCACAGAAAATAGCAGTTCGAGAGAATTGATTGAAGTCAAACTCAACAGCGAAACGCTGCGATTCCGTGGAAGAACGTAAATTTTTTTTTACTGAAGGAAAGAGAACCAATTGAATTTCTTTCTACTGAAGTCTTTTGAAAAACGAGATCCGACATGTGGACGTTCCCACTCAGGGAACCCAGTACAAGCACCAATAACGTCCACATCTCGAGGCCTCACTATACAGGTATTTTCTTTTTCCCTGGTCCACCCTGTCCCTCATAGAAAACAAAACGCCCCCTTTTTTCCCTCAACACAAATGGAAAAGCAGATGAGGAAAATAAACGAAAAAATCTCACCCATCTCGCTTCCTGTTCTTCAGCGTCGCGGAAAACTGTTTGAATTGTTTCCCCCCAGCGACGACGTGCCAGTTTTTCTCCTCACGGCTCACATCGACCCGAATGTTTAAAAGAAATCCTCCTCGAAAAAATACGCCGTTGACGAACCGACACTACCACTACAACCACCACCACGTTCCTCGCAGAAATCCTGAAAAGATGAGACGAGCGAGAGAGAAACAAAATTAAGCCAAGGCTGTGAAAAACCGCAAGCACAGAACCCCGAGAGTGTGCGGAAAGGAATGCGCACACAATTGGCACAGAGCCCATAGAATACCACGGGGGCTTCATCCTTTGCCCCTTCTCACGCACAAAAGATGCACGTCCCACCCCCCGTTTCGCTTCTTCTCAACCATGTTCATATCTTTCACATGTTTTAGCACTGAGGATCGTTCACCGAAGGTGCGAAAGATTCACAATCGCATTCGAATAATTACTGTATCTTCTCATCGATATTTCCAGCAAAAAAAAATTTATTTTTGTAAAAAAAAAAACAACCATCCAAGCGGAAATTCATCGGAGTAGGGGTGAATTTGGGAAGGCCTCTCGAGAAGATTAAACCGGAACAAGAAACACGGCAAATTCTGATCATCAATTGCTTCCAAAATCCCACCCCTCCTTAAGTAAGGAACTGATTAGTACGTTTGGACAGTTCATCATTACAGCCGTCGACGTATGAAGCACTCATCGAAATTAATTTCAATGTCTCACGAGATCACAAGCTTCTCCACCTTCAACAAGCAGATTTCGGGATCTTCCGAAAAGAATCGATCTACGCAAATTCCACCAGAATAGGCGTTCAATACGCGAAGGACTGTCGAGAATCTCTGACCAGCCATGACGAATTTCGATTCTCGTCGAATTATTTCCAAAAAATCACCCCTGCTTCAAATAGTTCGTCACACTAGCCGTCGAAGTCGAGTAACACCAATATCCCACAAGAACACAAGCTTTCCTACCTTCAANCCTTGAGATCAACATGTCTCAGCAATTCCGCAGCAGTTTATACCGGGGTTCTTCTTTCAACTTTCTGAACATTGCTTGATTTCATCCCAATAAAGTTTGGAATACCCTTCCTTTCAAGCACCATTAAGATCAATACAGTAATTTTCTCATGCATTGACAAGCAAAAAAGAAAAAAAAGGTTCAACTCAAATTTATGTAGAACTTTATGGCTCAAAAACCTTCCCTTTCAAACCTGAATGACTCACACTTCTAAGGGTCTTTGTCTTATTATTTTGTGGACCCTAGAAAGAGAAGTAAGTACACATTTAAATTTCAGGCCTTTCAAAAGGAAGTAAGTGACTGCTTTGGTAACTCATTCAACGAGTACTTTAAAGCTCACATCACCAAGTTTACCTTCCTGTCATTTTTAAATGTTTCTGCTTTCCTCCAATTTGAAAAATATTTCTTTGAAGCCCCACTGGCATCAGTATGCAGTGAGAAGCAAATACAGTTGAACTCTAATTTCTGTTTATTTCCTGGCCGAATTCCTTCCAGAAAAAAGTGATATAAGCCTTACCGGCTCAAAATCTGTGGACTTCAAAACTCTGTAAGTCAAATTTCTTCAAGTCTTTGGGTTATCATTTTGGGGACCCAAAAAAGAGAGGAGGAAAAATTTCAAGTTTTTCAACTTCATACTTTTCAGAACTATTCAACACCACATGATTCTTGAAAGAAAACGGCACAAGGATTATTAACAAAATTTCAGGACAGCATCCAAATGAGTATTCTTCAAGAATTTAAAATTTGTCATTAAACAGCCCAAACAAGGGTTTTTAAGAGGTGTGCAAAGTTTTTCAAATAGCGTCATATCCTGGACAAATGCGCAAAAATGCTGAAAAGCCTCGCTTAGAACATACAATTGAGCAAAAGCAAAGGTCACATAACACAAGGAGATACCTTATTTCTTACGCAGCAGGAAAGAATTTAAAATTCAATATTTTGAATACTAGAAGTTTATTAATTTAAAAAATCACAAAAACTTCTCCCAAATATCATATCAATTCTTCAAATTGAAAAAATTTTTGTAGCCATGCTTCAAACCCTCAAAAAATGTACAAGATTGTAAAATTTTCCAAATCATAAAATAATTTTATCAGATTAAATAACAAGCTCTTGAAACCTGGGTATCAACATACAAAATTACTTACATACTTGAGAATATTTTGTTAATCTCAGTGACTTTTTTTCTATTCATAATAAAGGCATGTAAATATAGACAACCATTCATGAAATACAAAAACACATTGACACAAAATGTACAATAAATTACTACATGAAGAATCGATATTACTGAGTACTGACAGACTCCAAAAGTCCAAATATAACTCAAACCTCAATTTAGTGCAATCATTTGTCCTGGCACATTTTGTGGCACTAAATCAGAGGTATTGTAGAAACAGAAGGTTCAGTTGAAGTATTCTAATGTATGCAAAATAAGTTTGTACACAGAAGCCAAATGAGTCTGTGTTATGAGTGAGAAAGCACAAGAAATAATTTGAAGCTCAAATGTAATGTTTATATTGCATTTAAACATATTTAGCAAGACAAAATGTATTACATTTTCACACGTATTGTGTCTGGTAGAAAAGCAGAGCAGTGTCCCATTTGGTTTGAATAAAAGTTTCATAATAAATGCTGTCATGCAGCAATTATTTCCAGGAAGGCTCCCACTATATTTACGAAATTTTCAACAAAGGTGGCATGCAAAAAAAAAATATTCGTACAAATTTAAATTCAGAGCGTTCATAGTTAGATATCCTTAGTTTGTATGGGAGGATGGGCAAGTGATTCTCAGTAATAACCCAACATTATCCCTATAAGAAAGCCCTAATTTCTTTTAATTTGGCCCATTTTTCATGCATTACGCAAACGTTTCTAAGGCACTGAGTGAGTTGGCACAAGATCGGGGTATCTTCAACAGAGAATGATTTTTTCAAGGGAACTTCATGACACAACATCGAAAGTTGAAAAAAATCACTTCGAAATTCCTCAAGAAGGAACATTAAATTCTAGATAGAAAGCATTTAAAAAAGAATTAGCTCACGAAACAGACCACAGTATTTCGAAAGGCGTCCGTGTGAAACTCAATGTTCAGGCCGCACGAAAACATCGATTCTCCCCCTGAGGCGAAGGAACAAAAGCCCAGTGGCTGCCGGCCAGGGTTCTCCACGCGGAATGCGGGGGACTGGTTCCCATGTTAAAGAAGCATTGCGGCAAAAACTGAACACCGGTAGGAGGGGTTCATCTCCATTTCCGAACCGTCATTGAACCGCAAACCAATGCATCCCAACACTAGCAACAATTTCAAAAGAATTTATACTGCAAGCTTTGAAAGCAGCGAAATCTCCGTCTCTCTACCGAATTTTCGGCGGCAGATCTAAAACTTTCAAGGTACAATTTTATATTCTAGCCTAGTATACAGGGAAAAGTTACGACTGTAAATTCTATTGTTATGTGTCATATTATCCAAAATAAACCGATCCCAATAATCGAATACTTCCTCCAACACAACACATACCCACGCAAAAGAATGCCTGAACTGAAGGCTCACTTCAACACCATTCCAAGTACAGTAACATGACAAAAGCATTGTTACAATATTACGAGTACCAAATCACACAGAATGAAAGAAGTTGTCATACACTTTTTTACATACCCATGCCCTGATCAATTTTTCGTCTCACTCGAGAAATGGTATCTCAAATTCATGTAAAAAATGTAGCTTTTGAAAATTCTGTCAACTGATTCACGCGTTTAAAATCGTATAAAATTACTTGCGCACGAAGAACATACAGGAAACGCGGAATTTTGGATGCTTCATTTGTCATACTCACTGGAATCACAGGTACACATTTTCCATCCTTCAATGGCGAAATTAAAATTACACAGTAATTCAAGACATTGGTTCAGTCATGTAACCGAAGAACACGAACGTCAAGTTGATTCGTTCATAAAATCCAGAGCTTATGATCACATTCTTAAATCCGCGCAGGCAAGAAGCTCTTCAATCCCACGAATACCAAGGAATATCGTAAAATAATATCGCATAGTTCACGTGGTTTTGAGCACGAATGATAAAAACGCGGTCATGGATACATGAGTGCTACGCGAACTGGATTTCTTCACCGCTACGCTTTTTCAACCGTTTCGTGTTGTTTCCATGCGAGATCGCATGATCTGGATTGTTCTATCGAAACAGTGCGAAATTACTGTGCAGTCTTCAGGTACGTACGTATACTTTTCGAAATCACGAGGCAGAAGCGGTATGAAAAATTCACGGTACTCAAACATGTAATATTGAACTGAAATTCGACTTACCGAGAGACGCGGAATGAACGCGC